TCTCTCTCTCTCTCTCTCTCTCTCTCTCTCTCTCTCTCTCTCTCTCTCTCTCTCTCTCTCTCTCTCTCTCTCTCTCTCTCTCTCTCTCTCTCTCTCTCTTCTCATCTCTTTATCTCGGTCCGTCTCCTCTTCGTCCCGACCCAATGGCGTAAGGGGAAAGGAGCTTCTCTCCGTCTCTCGTAGCAGCGTTTCAAAACTTTTGCTTTCTTTCAGCACAGTGTGGTCCATCGTCGCGCGCACGTAGGCGCGAAATAATGTGAATTTCTTTTTTCTTTCTTAATTTTTTTCCTATGGGAGAAGCACGCCATAATACTGGTTACTCATCCCCGGTGATACAAAAAACACGAGATTCATCTCGAGGCAACCTCGAAACTTTCGCTCTCTTTCGATGTAACGTGACGCGGGAGCTATTCGCGCGTACGTGTGTCACCGCTGCGAATCTTTTTTTTTCTCTTTTTTCCTTCTCCTTCGCTGACTGCGCTCTCATTCAGTGATGTAAAAGATATACGAGATTTATCAATTGTTTACGAAATCCTTGCTCTTTATCATAATGCGAGTTCACGCGAATAAATCCAGACGTTTGTTTCTTCTCGAACGTTCACTGATTCTCTAGCGAATATCTGAGACAGTTTTTCCGAAAAAATTCCGAGGCTCCAATTTCCTTCAATATCTCCTCGCGATGATCCCTCGAAAATGTTAAATTTATCTTTTTCTTACACAAAGCTGATACGATTTCGACCAACGAAAATTTCATCGAGACCAACTGACACACGCAGCTGGATTTAAGGATAATAATAAAACTTTCCAGATCCAATTCTATTTTTAAAAGGCGCTTTCCTATTGAATTCCCGCGAAAAATGCTGAAACTTGCCAATTTCCTGGGAGATCGCTGTTGCATCTCAATATGAAATTTATGAAAAAAAAATCCCCTCTCGTCTAGACAGGAAGAATCGCCGGCGATTCTCGCGCATATTCGCTATGTTTTCCTACGCCCATGGATCAAGACCTTATGCTCGCGGCACAAACTCAGATCGTGTGCACTCGCATCCGTGCGATCGTACCGGCGCGATCGATATTTCACTCGTACTGAACACGTACCACTGAACATCGTATGTCGCATTAAACGGCATTTCCGTAGATCGCGAGTTCGATCATTTTTTCGTTTCTTTTCGTTTTCGCGAGCAAGATCGGAGAGAAAAGATCTAGCACGAGTATGGATGATACGTAAATGGGGCAACATACGGAAACAGGTGGATTATCGAAGCGTATCTATCTTGCGTTGATTATTTGGATAATAAACGGCAAAAGTATCGACAACGACGACGACTATAGCGATGACGATGACGACGACGATGATGATGGCGATAACGATGTTTTCCCTCTTTGTCGCTTCACGAACGACGGCTATTAATACTTGATTGCACGTTCAACTGCGACGTATACCCTTAAGCCACGCGGTGCGAAAACTAACGCGATAAACGCTGACACCGACCCTTCATCGCGGATAGAGATAATAACGCTACTTTGTGGTGAGGATTCTTTCGGGATGCGATTAGAGCGTATATCTTTGTGAAGACGTACGTGTTTCTTTTTTCTTTCTTCGTCGTATGATGTCGAAGTAATTTCTATGATAGTTGCAGCGATATCGATTTCTTTCATATAAACAATAAAGCGGCTTCCATATGTTACTGCCCTACATGCCTCGAGACATAATTAAACACTTGTTACGTAGTGCGCAAAAAAGCCTGATTAAAAAGTATTTTCATTATACTAACGGTAATTGAGCGTCTCTGCTATAAAAAGTTAGATAGATCATTATAAGCTGGATATAGATGAAGATTGGTGTATAAATAACAACGCGCAGACATTGGCCGCAGATTCTTTTTTTCTAATCTCGCCTCTTTCTCTCTTTTTCAGTGTCCGATAGCTACAACAGTTACATAAACATGTACGGCGGGGGTGGGCAGTTTGCGACCCCCTGTACCCCGAGTCCGCCGCGAGGACCCGGTGGCGTGCCCACCAGTGTGATCCAGGCGGCCACCAGCTCGGTTTCGGACGATCTCTACCTTCTCGAGCTCGGCTTCCCGCCGCGCTCGAAGAAGAACAAGTTGAAAAAGCCGCGGCAGGGTAGCGAGGGCGGCGCCGCGGTGAAGCGGAAGTCGCGCGAGGGCTCGACCACGTACCTGTGGGAGTTCCTGCTCAAGCTGCTGCAGGATCGCGAGTACTGTCCGCGATACATCAAATGGACGAATCGCGAGCGGGGCGTCTTCAAGCTGGTCGACAGCAAGGCGGTCTCGCGGCTCTGGGGTATGCACAAGAACAAGCCGGACATGAACTACGAGACGATGGGTAGGGCACTGCGCTACTATTATCAGCGTGGCATCCTGGCGAAGGTGGATGGCCAACGGCTGGTCTATCAGTTCGTCGAAGTGCCGAAGGACATTGTCGAGATCGATTGTACGGGCGCATGAGACAGGGGGTCGACTCGTCCCGCGGGGCACGAGAGAGAAAAAAAGGAGCAACACAGCGCCTCGACGAGAGCATCATGTGGACGTCGATCACCGCCGTTGTCGTTGTCGTCATTGATGCGACGTCGCGGAACCCTCATGGAGTTTTATCCGCACGAAAGGTCGCCGTCCAGCGGTTCTCTTCACCAAAACGCGCCATGGCACACCCCTCAGACGTTGTAAAACATGTTCTCCTTTTCTTTTCTCTCTCTTCCTGTCTGTCTTTCTCTGTCTCTGTCTCTCTCTCTCTCTCTCTCTCTCTCTCTCTCTCTCTCTCTCTCTCTCTCTCTCTCTCTCTCTCTCTCTGTCTATCTGCTTCTCTATCCCTTCTCTATCTCTATTTTCATCTTTCTCTCCGGCTTCGTTTGTTCCTTGTATTATACCTATGTAAATGTATATTAAAGCGCCGCATGACGACGTCGTCGAAGGTGGTCCCGACCCAGTACCTCGTCCTTCTCCTGCGGCCCGTTTCTTTCTCATGTGTACGAATGCTGCGCAGGATCGGGACAGGACGACGCCCGACTGGTTGAAATTTGTACAAAATTTAGTTCTTAACGTGTCGAGAAAGGAAACTAAAGATATCTGGTGTACCTTGCGGGAGGGACGTCGTGGACAAATTACTTAAGCCGCAAAGCACCGGAAAGCGAAAAATTGTATATTCGAAAGAGCGACAAATTATTTATTATATATTAGACATTTATATATGTTACCTAATAGCGAATTCAATCATTCGCACTATATCGATTGCTTAATGTGCATTCTTAATGCACATTAAAGACTGCTACATATGAAATACCTAAACGTAAAATACATGCTACATATGAAATACCTAAACGTATGGCATGATGTAACATTTTTTATAATAATGTCATTAATGCATATTCTGCTAAATAACATATAAACTGATTATTAAATATTGATATTGTTGAATATATTTATCGTTTATATTTATCATTTGAAATGTATATGCACTTTTACATTTTATAATAGTTTCATATATAGCAATTTTTAGTGCGCATTAATCCGATGTATTGCGAATGTTCGGATTCGTTATAAGAAAATTGTTACGCGCGCGATTTGCGCAAAATGGAAAACGTATGGAAACGGACGAAAGTTAAAAAAATAAAATGAAACGAAATGAGGGCTGTGAAAAGGATTACGATACGGAGAGGAGAGGAAAGAAGACGAGACAAGATATGTAGTGGAACGCGGAAAAGGATGAGAAGCGTCTCTCAAAGTTTCACGGAGCGAGCTCAGGGAGGGGTACACATTATATTTTTTTAAGTATAAGCGGAAGGGATTGATCCTTCCAATTCGTGAGCTGAGGGTTCAACAACGCAAGGTGCTGGCTAATATGCATACGCATACTCTCATATACACATATACACATACACACATACATATACACACATCGAGGTCCAAGAAAATTATTATTTAGCAACCTAGTGTTACTATTCGTAAAGATTATCGATGCGGACGATTATATCTCTGTATATAAATATAAAGAATACCTTTAGTAAAAAAATATATATATTATTGATTATTATATATATATATATTATATATAAATATATCTATTGTATGTTATGTAGTAAAAATGGAGCGATTTGATGTGTCTCTATGAGATTTTGGCGACACGGCGCCACACGCGTAGGGCGCTTTTAACTGTCTCGCGCGACGTCTCTTCTTTCTATATTAGTTGTTTGTTCTTATATATACATTATATCGTGGAGAAGAATTTTATACGTTCGAGAGCGCCGATTTCGCGTTTAAGCCTCTAAAGTCGCAGTCGCAACGCACATACATACACGTGTATATCGCTGGTCTCGCATGCTCAGACTGATCAGAGACGTCGCACGTACAACACGCAGAAAAGCCCGCCTGACGCTCGGGGTGCATAATAATAATAAAAAAAAAAATGCGTAACTCTAGAATAAAATTTAACTTATTAGCGCCCCGAAACGCGTGACGCGCGCGAGTGCAAGTGTATCCTATAGTCCTAAGTTTTGTACATAAAAAGAGGAAATCGTCAAAAATATTATTTACGTTTAAGAGGAACATAACGCTGGTTATCCCCGCGGTTGAATTATGCTCGCGGGAGAAAAAGTGGAAAACGACGGAACGAACGAGGAGCGTCTAGCTATATTACGCGTGATGATTACGTGACCCGATCGCGACGCGTGTACACAGGCCGATTTGTTGCATTACAGCCTCGAGATATACCGGAGAAACGAAATATACAGTACATTTGAACAGTGATCCAGTGCTGCCAATAATGCCTGTCCCTTTGCACTTGTCGCTCGAGTCGATGCCCCTCAAATCGAGCCACGCACAGTGCTGTCAGATTGATCCAAATGTTTTTGGGACACCAGATATACCGATGATACAAAGCAAATTGCCTTCTCGTATTAACAAAGACGTGTTGCCTTCTAACAAAAAAAAAAGATGCATATAAAAGTTCTAGCGATTTGTATCGTAAATGCCGTCACTTTGTCCAGGTACTTAAAAGCCCTTTACATATAAAACCCTAGCATCGTTTTTTCTGACAAATTGAATTTTGTAATTTTATCAGCGAAAAGTTCTTTGGTACGTGGTGACTTTTATCGTACTTCGAATACAATATATCGGCGGGAAAATAGTAATAATATTAATAATAATATTAATAATAATAAAAAAAGAAGATATATCAGAGTACAATGGACAAAAGTACCTATAATATACCACTTCTATACATGATAACAGACACTTATAAACAATGAATGGACACTACAACAGAAATCCTATTTTTAGGTAAATTAAATTTACATATACATAACAATCCACTACACGAGATATTTTAACAAATAAGACTTTATTATAATAGAGATAAATACATAATTATTTACCTGTAAAATATATGAAAACACGATGGATTGACGTAAGGAACTCTAATGTAACGTTCTGTGATTCGTTGTTTGTAGGTGAAATTTAATAAAAGATTATTGTATCATAATATATATATATACACATATATGATTTTATTTTATTCCCAATTATATCCAACAAATATCTTTAAATCTTTTTCATACCTAATAATTTTATTTAAACAGTCTCGTTTATATTACATTAAACACTGGATGTAAAATATAAAGAGTAAAATATCAAGTACAAAATTTTATTATCAGAACCAAATTATACTAATAATTACGCAGTCAATAAATGTATCTAAAGTTTTATTAAAAAAAAAAATCCATCATAAATGAATAAAAAGAAATTTTATTAGATATTACTTATAAGAGAGAATAATCTCTGTGTCTACTTAAGTTATCTTAATTGTCGCTAAAATAAAAGATTGATGATTTTTATGAATGCTTTTAAGATATTGCGTACAAGGGTCTTTTGTTTGTAGTTATCATTGTCCTTCGCAAAAGATGAAGAAATTTCACAAATTGTATTTATTAATACTGAGATCGAAGAAATTATCGTAATATTATTATTTTAATTAAATTATTTATTATCTATACTTACAAAAGAGTATGTACATGTATGTGTGTACATATTAAATATAATATATATTTAAGTAGTGGCGCAAAGTTACCAGCGACACTGGAAAGCGCTAATAGCATGCAAGATTCCTCGGACAACACGAAGGAAGAAATTTTCGTAATATAAATTAATTATCACTGTCGATAATATTATGATCGATAAAAAGTTATTTTAAATGTAGAAAACTATTTCAATGAATTGTTGAATAGATATAATTGTGATCATTCGTATCGCAATTATATTTATATGATATTGATTTAGTTTCCATTTCCTGATAAGTTATAAATAATAAAAAATATTGGAAATATGTAGAGAGGCTACATATTATATTTATCATTGCGTGATACTATCAAGAGAATTTTTATGACTATCAAAAGGGACGTAGAATCGAGATTCGGAGATTATCGAAGAGTAGCGATATTATCGACTGTTGATATAAATATACAGTCTAATTGTATTGTATATTTGAATAATGCATTAAATTTGAGATTTTTTTATTACACAAATACTTTATAAGTTTAGGCATATTTATAAGTAGATTTATTTATTTCTTTTTAATCATCTTTTTTTCTTCCTTTTCCAATTATCTTGTTCCTTGTTATTAAATATAAAATATGTGTCGCGTGCATACCGAGAAGAGTAAAGATTATTTTTTATAGCTGAACTAATGTGCACTTATATTTCAAATGAAATAGACATATGTTCGAAGTTTGGTGTGAAAGCAGGAAAGAAAATTTTACTGCGGTACAGTAGGCCTATTCTCTAACTTCTTAACGACAGTTTCACTAGCTAGGTATGTCGTTACGCAGCTTTTTTCCCATATATTATACCTGCGCAATTACAACGTAACGATAACGACACTGTCGTTAAGAAGTTAGAGAATATTGCACCTACAGTGCAATAATCTAACGATGACGATTACCGTATAATGACGCAATGGTTATATATAACGTGACCGACTAAAGACGGTCGGTTGTATCGCCGCTGCGATTGGCGTAGGATTTGGTAAGATTTAACCGTGCAGCCACTCGTCGCGCGGTGTCATCGGCAAAGAACGTTCTCGAGTGCACAGAGTGGGAACACGACGGAGCGGGAGTGAGAGAGTGCGGGGAGAAACGGAGAGAGTCCGGCTGAATTGTCGGAACTCGAAACGAACGTCAATCGTGGCAGACGAAAAGGGAGCGAGCCTCCTGCGAGCTCGCAAACAAATTTTATCGCGAGATCTATCTCACGGCTATTGTCTCCGCATTGTTGACGACCGGATTTATTGTCGTGCGCATATCTAACGATTTGCCAGTGCCTGCGAGGGAACGTCGTTTATCGATTCCGGCAGCGGATTGATCCTGCCACACCCCACCGTGGCCATTTTGGACACGATAAGTCGGCGGAGACCACTTTAAAGAACGGCAGTGAGTCATGGATCAAATTACGCCTAAGGAGGTGAAGATCCTCGAGAATCCGGAGGATATCCAGGAGAGGCGAGAGCAGGTACTAGGACGTTATGCCAACTTCAAGGCGGAAGCACGCAACAAGCGGGACAAGCTCGAGGACTCCCGTCGCTTTCAGGTACGTATTTCTATTTTGGGATTTTAAGATTTTCCTGGTATACATTTATTTAGAATCTTCTAAAGAAACAGTTTCTTTGAAATTTCAAAACTAACATCCTTGAACTTTTATTTTTCCATCTGTCTGAATTTTATCTTATGATCTTTTACCCTTTTTTGAATCTCCTCAAAATATTTTGACACGATAAGACTCTATTTGTATTTCTAAATTATTCTGTAATCTTTTGTTATTGAAAAGTTATATTTTTTAATTTTACAACTGTTATTTATTAACAATAAAATTATTTGATGATAATGTTTTTGCCAATAAAAGAGTGACAATTTGTTGTCAATAAATGATACCTGAATCATTTATAGAGAAAATTAATCTTTTTTCCTTATGTATGCTGTATTTTCATTTCTTTCCTTTCCGTTTTTTTTATTATTTTCCTATTTTTTGGCATTAAGTATGCATTGCATTGTTGTATTCTTTTAACAAAACCTGCTCTCAATAAATCAAAATTCATTTTGATCTGAAGTATATGTGTTCTCTAGTTCTCAATAATTATTCGCAGTAAATACAACTTTTATTTATATCATAAATGTTATTTGAATAAAGCTTAGAGAATAGTTTTATATTTTAAAATATTTGTATCTTACATATAATATTTTTTGGGTGTTATTTCATAATTTGTTGATATTTATGTTAATTTGCCTTCCTCTTTCAGTACTTTAAGCGAGATGCGGATGAACTCGAAGGATGGATCTATGAGAAGCTTCAAGCAGCCTCTGATGAGAGCTACAAGGATCCAACAAACCTACAGGCGAAAATCCAGAAGCACCAGGCTTTTGAAGCAGAAGTTGCAGCTCATTCAAATGCCATTGTGCTGCTCGATAATACTGGCTCTGAGATGATAACACAACATCATTTCGCCAGTGATGTAATTCGCAAGAGACTAGGTATATTCAAACGTTACAGATATTAATTTCTCTTATCAATCGTTCGAATATTGTTAAAATACGTTATCATTTTGTTTTATTATATATATATATATATTTTTTTTTTTTTTTTCAAGATGAATTATGAATATTTCATATTAATAACAATTTTTTTTAAGCAAGTCAAAGATTTAAGATTGATTTTTTATGAACAGAGATTTGAATAATTTTTTTCAAATTATATAAAATATCTATATATGTTATTATTTTAATTATGAATTAAAGATGATTAATTGAAAATATTGTAAATACATATAACGATATTATTACTGTAATAATTATATATGCAACAAAATCTTTTGTTGCAAGACAAGACCTTTTGTTTTTAATGTAATGTGTTTTATTATTTATAGAGGAATTACATCGCCTATGGGAATTACTATTGTCCCGATTAGCCGACAAGGGCCTGAAGCTACAACAAGCTTTGGTTCTCGTACAATTCATTCGTCACTGCGATGAGGTGATGTTTTGGATCCACGACAAAGAGGCATTTGTAACGACTGATGAATTTGGACATGACTTGGAGCACGTGGAAGTGCTTCAAAGAAAATTTGACGAATTCCAGAAGGATATGGCAAGTCAAGAATACAGAGTTACGGAAGTGAATGAATTGGCGGACAAGTTGCTGTTGGACGGACATCCTGAACGTGATACCATTTTACGCAGAAAGGAAGAGCTTAACGAATCCTGGCAGAGACTGAAACAGTTGGCCACGCTGCGACAAGAGAAGCTCTTCGGGGCACATGAGATCCAGAGATTCAATCGCGATGCCGATGAGACCATGGCTTGGATTGCAGAGAAGGATGTTGTCTTGTCATCTGATGATTTCGGGCGGGATCTCGCCAGCGTGCAAACGTTACAACGAAAACATGAAGGTATCGAACGCGATTTGGCCGCTTTAGAAGATAAGGTGTATACACTGGGTGCGGAAGCCGATCGTCTTGCCGCGATTCACGAAGCTGATCATTCTAAGCAGATTCAAGCTAAACGCGCCGAGATCTTACAATCATGGGAGAGCCTTACTGCGAAAGCGAAGGAACGACGCCTTAAACTTGACGAATCTTATTATCTGCATCGATTTTTAGCCGATTATCGCGATTTAGTATCCTGGATGAATGACATGCGGGCTATTATTTCCGCGGACGAACTGGCTAAAGATGTGGCTGGTGCCGAGGCCTTGGTTGACCGACACCAGGAACACAAGGGAGAGATCGATGCCAGAGCTGATAGCTTCGATGCCACCACATTAGCCGGTAATAAGCTCCTGGAGAAGAAACATTACGCTGCCGAAGAAGTGGCGCGAAAATTGAACTCCCTCGCCGACGACAAATCGTCTCTTCTGAGTCTATGGGAGAAGAGACGTATTTTGTATGAGCAATGTGTAGATTTGCAATTGTTTTATCGAGACACCGAGCAGGCGGACGCTTGGATGGCCAAACAGGAAGCGTTTCTGGCTAACGAAGATTTGGGAGATTCCCTCGATAGCGTGGAGGCGCTTATTAAGAAACACGAGGATTTCGATAAATCTTTGGCTGCTCAAGAAGAAAAGATCAAAGTGCTTGATGACTTTGCTGGAAAATTAATTGAAGGCGAGCATTATGCTGCAGACGATGTAGCACAACGGCGACAACTGTTATTGGAAAGACGAGCTATTCTTCTTGAGAAATCAGCTCAAAGACGCCGTCGTTTGGAAGACGCGTATAAGCTACAACAGTTCGAGAGGGACTGCGATGAGACAAAGGGTTGGGTTAACGAGAAACTCAAGTTTGCCACTGATGACAGTTACTTGGATCCAACTAATCTGAATGGTAAAGTCCAAAAACATCAAAATTTCGAGCAGGAACTAAACGCGAATAGAACACGCATGGAGGAAATGGTAGCCACTGGTCAAGAATTGATCGAGAGTGGCCATTACGCTAGTGATCGCATACGCACCCGTTCGGACGAGATTGTAACGTTGTGGGAAAGCTTAACGCGAGCAACTGAAAAGAAAGGTGCGAAATTGCAGGAAGCCTCTCAGCAACAGCAGTTCAATCGAACGGTAGAGGACATCGAATTGTGGCTGTCGGAAGTAGAGGGACAACTCATGTCTGAAGATTATGGCAAGGATTTAACCAGCGTTCAGAATTTGCAGAAGAAACACGCGCTTCTCGAGGCTGATGTAGGCTCTCACGCGGACAGAATTGACGGTATCGCTCAAGCGGCGGAGCAATTTGTCAAATCGGGCCATTTCGACGCTGATAACATCAAAGCTAAGCAGGAACAATTACAAGGTAGATACGCCGCCTTGCAGCGTCCTATGAGTGTGAGGAAACAACGACTCCTAGACTCCCTTCAGGTGCAGCAGCTGTTCCGAGACATCGAGGATGAAGAAGCATGGATTCGCGAGAAAGAACCGGTCGCTGCATCCACGAATCGCGGTCGCGATCTGATTGGCGTGCAGAATCTCCAGAAGAAACATCAAGCTGTTCTGGCGGAAATTAACAATCACGAGCCGAGAGTGGCCGCGGTTTGCCAGGCGGGTTCGACGATGTTGCAAGAGGGACACTTCGCGGCCGAAGAAATCGGTCAACGACTGTCAGCTTTGGACGAACACTGGGGACAGCTGAAGGATAAAGCTCGGCAACGCAAGAATGACTTGGATGATTCTTTGCAGGCACATCAATATTTTGCCGATGCGAACGAAGCTGAGTCGTGGATGAAAGAGAAACGTCCTATAGTGATGAACGGTGATTACGGCAAAGATGAAGATAGTTCTGAGGCTCTTTTGAAAAAGCACGAGGCTTTAGTCAGCGATCTGGAAGCGTTTGCGAGCACCATCGCGGCATTAAGAGATCAAGCTGCCGCATGCAGACAACAGGAGACACCCACGGTCGATATTACCGGTAAAGAGTGTGTCGTAGCCCTTTACGATTATACTGAAAAATCTCCCAGAGAAGTGTCCATGAAGAAGGGCGATACTCTGACTCTACTCAATTCCAACAACAAGGACTGGTGGAAGGTCGAGGTGAACGATCGTCAAGGTTTCGTACCAGCAGCATACGTGAAGCGCGTGGAACCCGAGGTGGGTCTCAGTGCGTCCCAACAAAATCTAGCTAGAGAGCAGAGTTCGATCGCTACGCGACAAGCGCAGATCGAGGCGCAATACGATGATCTTCTGCGTTTAGCGCGCGAACGTCAGAACAAGCTTAACGAGACCGCTAAGGCTTACGTGCTGGTGAGAGAAGCCGCGGAATTGGCTACTTGGATTAAAGATAAGGAAAATCACGCCCAGGTGCAGGATGTGGGCGAGGATCTGGAACAGGTGGAGGTCATGCAGAAGAAATTTGACGATTTTCAAGCTGATCTTAAGGCGAACGAAGTGCGTCTGGCCGAGATGAATGAAATCGCCGTGCAGTTGATGAGTCTTGGGCAAACCGAAGCGGCATTGAAAATTCAGACGCAGATTCAGGATCTGAACGAGAAGTGGACCAGCTTGCAAACGCTCACGGCAGAACGGGCCAATCAGCTTGGCTCCGCTCACGAGGTGCAACGATTCCATCGTGATGTTGATGAAACGAAGGACTGGATTCGCGAGAAAGACGCGGCGCTGAATAATGACGATCTGGGAAAGGATTTGCGTAGCGTTCAGGCTTTGCAGCGTAAGCACGAAGGTCTAGAACGAGATCTGGCAGCTTTAGGAGACAAAATCAAGCAACTCGATGAAACGGCCAATCGCCTGATGCAGTCGCATCCGGAGACCGCCGAGCAAACGTATGCCAAACAAAAGGAGATCAACGAAGAATGGACTCAATTGACAGCCAAAGCCAATAGTAGAAAGGAGAAACTTCTAGACTCGTACGATCTGCAACGATTTCTCAGTGATTATCGTGATTTGATGGCTTGGATCAATTCGATGATGGGTCTGGTCGCTTCCGAGGAACTTGCGTCGGACGTCACGGGTGCCGAAGCTTTGCTCGAACGTCATCAGGTAAAAATATTCTCCATCATAGCATGATCAAACACAATCATCACAATCATCTGGCAAATCCTTCATTGAGTCATTCAAATTATAGAATCACAGAGCAGAGATAGACGCGCGATACGGCATACTTCCAGAGGTATAAGAACGTTTGAGCATGCATCAAGGAAGTCGCGGAGTTGTTGGCGAGAATACCTAAAATTAATCTCGCGTACTTCATCTCGTTGACTTTTTTATCTTCCCTTTTAGAAAAAGCTGATTGATCTTTTGCCGATGTTTTGCAATGAAAATACTGCCTATTAACAGTTTGAGTATTTTCAGTGCTTAATTCGCGTAATTACTGCCTTTTTCTGCTTGTCGTAATGTCTACTGTCGAATGAATTTGATCATACATAACAAACAAAGAATTGTGTACTCATACAATACTACACTTGAGAACCGAATTATAATTCGCTTTGTAATTTTTTTTTTAATTTTTTTTTTTGTATAGGAACATCGAATGGAGATAGATGCTAGAGCGGGCACTTTCCAGGCCTTCGAATTGTTTGGTCAACAATTATTGCAATCTAGCCACTATGCCAGCGTAGAAATATTAGAGAAACTTGAGTCTATGGCTGAAGCGCGACAAGAGTTAGAAAAAGCTTGGATTCAACGACGTATGCAGCTCGATCAGAATCTCGAATTGCAGCTGTTCTGCAGGGATTGCGAGCAGGCGGAGAATTGGATGAGCGCGCGGGAAGCTTTTCTCAGCAGTGCGGACGCTGTGGATAGCAGTGACAACGTTGAAGCTCTCATCAAGAAGCATGAAGATTTTGATAAAGCAATCAATGCTCATGAAGAAAAGATCGCTACTTTACAAACTTTGGCTGATCAGCTGATCGCTGCCGAGCATTACGCCGCTAAACCCATCGACGAAAGACGATGTCAAGTGTTGGATCGCTGGCGGCACTTAAAGGATGCTCTTATTGAGAAGCGTTCGAAATTAGGCGAATCTCAGACTTTGCAGCAATTCTCGCGAGATGCTGATGAGATGGAAAATTGGATTGCCGAGAAACTTCAACTAGCAACTGAGGAGAATTACAAAGATCCTGCCAACATACAATCGAAACATCAGAAACATCAAGCTTTCGAAGCCGAATTGGCGGCTAATGCGGATCGAATTCAATCGGTACTTGCTATGGGAGGTAATCTAATCGAAAAACATCAATGTGCCGGTTCGGAAGATGCGGTTCAAAAGAGACTGGCATCCATTGCTGACCAGTGGGAATATCTTACACAAAAAACCACAGAAAAATCCATGAAACTAAAAGAAGCCAATAAGCAACGTACTTACATTGCTGCCGTGAAGGACCTTGATTTCTGGCTCGGAGAAGTCGAGAGTTTGCTCACATCCGAAGACGCTGGTAAGGATTTGGCCTCGGTGCAGAATCTTATGAAGAAACATCAACTTGTCGAGGCGGATATACAAGCGCACGAGGAAAGAATCAAAGACATGAATGCACAAGCAGATTCGTTGATTGAGAGTGGTCAATTTGACGCTGCTGGCATTCAAGAAAAGCGTCAGAGCATAAATGAACGTTACGAGCGAATTAGGAATCTAGCGGCGCATAGACAGGCGAGGCTTAATGAAGCCAATACTTTGCATCAATTCTTCCGCGATATCGCTGACGAAGAGTCTTGGATCAAAGAGAAGAAGCTTCTCGTTGGATCGGATGATTATGGCCGCGATCTTACGGGCGTGCAGAATTTGAAGAAGAAACACAAAAGATTGGAAGCCGAGCTTGGAAGTCACGAACCTGCTATCCAAGCTGTCCAGGAAGCGGGAGAGAAATTGATGGATGTTTCCAATCTGGGAGTACCCGAAATTGAACAACGTCTGAAGCTTCTTAATCAAGCGTGGGCTGAATTGAAACAATTAGCTGCCACTAGAGGACAGAAACTGGACGAATCCTTGACATATCAGCAGTTCCTCGCTAAAGTCGAAGAGGAGGAAGCCTGGATTACAGAGAAGCAACAATTACTCTCCGTTGAGGATTATGGTGATACAATGGCTGCTGTTCAAGGTCTTTTGAAAAAGCACGATGCGTTTGAAACCGATTTTGCGGCTCACGGTGAACGTTGCAAAGATATTTGTGAGGCTGGCGAGACCCTGATCAAAGCTGGCAATCATCGAGCGGACGCTATCAGTCAGAGATGTGCGCAGCTGCGCAACAAATTGGAGCAACTCGGAGCTCTCGCGGCTCGTAGGAAGACACGATTGAATGACAACTCGGCCTATTTGCAGTTTATGTGGAAAGCCGACGTTGTCGAGTCATGGATAGCTGACAAAGAGACTCATGTGCGTTCTGAGGAGTTTGGCCGAGATTTATCTACCGTGCAAACTCTGCTCACGAAACAGGAGACTTTTGACGCTGGTCTTCACGCGTTTGAACACGAGGGTATCCAGAATATCACTTCGTTGAAGGAAATGCTCGTTGATTCCGGTCATGATCAGACACCCAGTATTCAGAAACGTCATGCGGATGTTATTGCTCGTTGGCAAAAGCTTTTAGCCGATTCTGACTCAAGAAAACAGCGCTTGTTGAGAATGCAGGATCAGTTCAGACAAATTGAAGAGCTCTATTTGACGTTCGCGAAGAAGGCGTCCGCTTTCAACTCATGGTTTGAGAATGCTGAGGAAGATCTAACGGATCCGGTGCGTTGCAACAGTATCGAAGAAATCCGCGCTCTTCGTGAAGCACACGCGCAATTCCAAGCCAGCTTATCTTCGGCTGAAGCTGACTTCCAAGCCCTGGCTGCTCTTGACAGACAGATCAAGAGCTTCAATGTCGGACCGAATCCATATACGTGGTTCACAATGGAAGCTTTGGAAGATACTTGGCGTAACTTGCAGAAGATAATTAAGGAACGCGATGTCGAACTTGCGAAAGAAGCACAACGACAGGAAGAGAATGACAAATTGCGTAAAGAATTCGCCAAGCATGCCAATGCCTTCCATCAATGGCTCGCGGAAACAAGGTTTGTATCGAGTTTGAAGGAATTCTTTATCCATCTAATTATTTAATTAAGAATAAAAATGCAAATCATTTGTTTTTTTTATAGAACATCTATGATGGAGGGATCCGGATCTTTAGAACAACAACTGGAAGCTACCAAGGTTTGTTTAACTGAAATATATTTATCAGAAAGATAATTTGAGATAATTTGTATTTATTACGTAATTGTATTTAAATTTATAGCGAAAGACTCAAGAAGTGCGTGCACGTCGTCAAGATCTGAAAAAAATCGAAGATCTGGGAGCTATTCTAGAAGAACATCTTATTTTGGATAATCGTTACACAGAACACAGTACTGTAGGACTAGCACAGCAATGGGATCAATTGGATCAATTAGGAATGCGTATGCAACATAATTTGGAACAGCAGATTCAAGCTCGAAATCAATCGGGTGTATCTGAAGATGCACTCAAAGAATTTTCCATGATGTTCAAGCACTTCGATAAGGACAAGAGCGGTCGTTTGAATCACCAAGAATTTAAATCGTGCTTGAGAGCTTTGGGTTATGATTTACCTATGATGGAAGAAGGACAACCCGATCCAGAATTCGAGAACATATTAGGTTGATTTCAATTTTTCGTATTATGTATATATTCTTGATTATATTATTTCGAACATTTATTTTAATATGATATTATTCGCAGACATCGTGGATCCTAATAGAGACGGCTATGTATCATTGCAAGAATACATGGCGTTTATGATCAGCAAAGAAACAGAGAACGTGCAGAGCTCGGAAGAAATAGAAAACGCTTTCCGAGCCATCACTGCAGCAGACCGGCCATATGTTACAAAGGAGGAATTATATGCTGTAAGTGTTGCAAATACTACAAAATATTTAGAAATATATGTTATGTTCTTTTACAATTTCGACGTATATATATTAATTAATCTTTTTTCAGAACCTCACGAAGGAAATGGCTGATTATTGCGTTGCCCGTATGAAACCTTACGTAGATCCCAAATCGGAACGACCGATAACAGCAGCGTTGGATTATATAGAATTTACACGCACTCTTTTCCAGAATTAATTTTGCATTCATATATATATATATATATATATGCATATATTTTTTTCAAGCTTATTAAATTATAATTGCTTAAAGGAGCACAGGGCTGCCACGTTTATCTTAAAGACTATGCTTGATTTATCCATATCTATTAATAATTATTATTTAGGATATGTATAGAAATTGAGGTTTTCATCTAAGCTAACTGGCTGATAAATACATAGAATATATTTCTATGTTAGAAGCATTTCTTCCTCATATATATTTATGTATGTCTTTTGACATATTGCGTTATTTAAAGATCTTTAAAGATAACTAATAATCTTCAAAATATTAAATTTCTTGTATTAGCCAGTTTTGATTTAAAATCTCCTTTCATGTTATATTCTTCAAAATAAATGCATTTAACATATAATATCTGAGTTTTATTCATAGTGAAATCTAAAATGTATGATATATTTTCTTAACCTTGTATTTTTCTAACATGGGATAAATTTTCTCACATAAATAAATTTTTTTTTATTTGACAAGATATATATGAAAATAATAAAAAATAAATATGCTTTTGCATTTTATTGAGCAATTGGATTTACAACCATTTGAGATTTTTCTTGAATTATTTGTTCAGCACGGTACACTTTCCAAGATATTAGAAAATCCCTAGCCATTTTGAACAAAGTATAATAATGTATAACTAATAGTAATATCGTCGATAATATTTGATACCATTCGGTCACGCCTAATAGAATAAATAATTGAATATTCACCAACAATAATTGCAATGCCAGTATTGGACTTAGCAGCGTTACACGATTATTAAATAAAACCTGTGGAACATAATAATTAGTATCAAGTCTAATATTATTGTTTATCAACAGAATGTAAAATTACGTACGTAAAATCTCGAGTGGTTTGAATTACCCGGTTCTGCTGCTGTACACAAACCCTCGGAACGATAAATTTCTTCATTGTGCTCTACGATCGATCCATGAGGCCATAATACTGCATCGTTCCATGGTTGGACTTGTATGTGATTATCGAGATTTTCTATTTTAATCCATCGACCTAAGTGCATTGCTGCCCTGTGCAGTTCGTCGCAATATCTGAAAATCAACAATACATACATATATTAACTGATTATATATAACAGATAATTTTTACAATATAAAGAAATATGTTTACCTAAAAGGATAAACTTGAGCAAAGTACGCGCATATTCTTCCGAGCCAGAACAGGATTACATGTTGTACCACCCATAATACGTTGAAATGTAAGTGTGGAGGTACGAAAATAATAGGCGCGACTACACAGACGTATGCGCTACCGGAAGACGAAAATAAAGCCCGCTTTAATCGTCTGTTGAAATCGGATCTTAAAGTAGATACTTCTGCTCTGATAGCTGACGCGTTCAATGAGCAGTTGTGTAAAGGTTTATCTGTATAAAAGAAATATATTGTCACACTAGACTTTAGAAATAAATAATATCAATAGATATGATTGATACATATTAATATATGATAATATTTACCTAATATATATTTCGTTTTCCGTTCTTCTTTTCCACATGAAAACATGTCGAGAAATGGTGCTGTTTTTATTCCAAACATAACGAAATATATTGACAAACTTCTGGAACAAGTGGACGTCATAAGAGATTCATTCTTATGTCCAATTTTGATTATGACAAAACTCATAATACGCATAGTAATGTCTAATATAATTAAATGTATTTATGCAGAACAGATCCAAATATATATGATACAGGAAGGAAATAATAAAATTTCTCTTTATATAAGATTTCGTTTTCAAAAGAATAACTTTAAAAAATTCTTATATTTGAACTAGAAAGACAGAAAATGTTAAAAACAATCTATCTTAATTTAATTCATAGAAATTACATTACAATTTTGTATACAACAAAACGGCCAGCATTTTCAATAATTTTCAACTAAATAATAAATGTATAATAAATGTATAATAAAAAATAAATGTATAAGAAATAAAATAATAATTTTTGTCTTACATGAATTCATTCATTTAGAATAGAATACCTAAGAGTCAATTGATTGAACTATGTTAATTCTGATAATAAATAAATTATAAGCAGACTATCTAGTGAAAATTATTACATCAAATATTAATTAAGTGCATATATACTTAATTAACTTTCAGTCTTTCTTTGAAAACAAGGTCTTCAAAAAAATGTATTCTATTACTTTGTCTTGTGTTCTAGAATCACCTTCTTAGTTACACCATATACTTGAGATTCTATATGTATGTATGTATATATAATACTCACGGATAACATAGATAAAAAATCTTCATAGAATTGTGCCTCTCAGCCATATGATAGAGGCACCAGACTAGTACACTCTTCACAGCAAGTGATAAAGATGAGCTAAAATAAAATTACATAAATGTCAAAATGTTCTAATATTCTTACAAACTTTGTGAAATATAAATATAAATTATTAATAAATTATATATACAATAATACCTTATAATATTTCGGATTGCTAATTTTGTTGGTGCTGATTGAATTGGTAATGAAACATCGATAATCTGACGTAACAATGTATGAAGAAATTGATGTGCCACCATAGTAAAAATAAATACAAGTAGATAGGGATCTATTAGATAGAAGTTCTGAAACAAAAACATGATTTAGAATTCTTCAAAATATCTTCAGAATAGGATAATTATAATATAATTATTTCTTTAAAATCAGTAAATATAATCCAGTTTTATAGATTTGTAATAAAAACATACATACCATACTATAACCATTGTATGAATTTGGTAGCCACCATACAGTTCTATACAGATTGAGCAACTGCAGACAAGCTGCGATGATCGAGACGACCAAGGATAAAGCCTCAAAGCTCAACTGCCCATCGACTGGTACCACAGGTATAGGAATGTGCTTTGGTGCCAAAGATCTTCCACTATAAATCTCTTCCAATCTTTTATCATCTGTATTATTAGTGTTTGCTCTTTCTCCACTATTGCTTCTTCCATTAGCACTAACAGAGCTAGCATTACCACTACTAGATCGGGTGGTCGGTCCAGTTCGACTGACAGCGTTTCGTCTGCCTCCAGGCATGCTTTACACATTCGTTACATGTGGCAAACGAAAGAGAAAAGTACCCTTACAATGTGTCAACAAATTGTTGATCAAGTCAACTATAGTTCATGTAGCATAACAAACACACAAAATTACAGGTGATTTTTAAACAGTTTCTTCAGAAAGATATTTCATATCGAGAGCACAGTCTTTCCCTCAAATATTATTTTTCTGATATTTCTCGATTATGTCACTGTAAACAAAAACACGAAAATGAATATGACGCAATATGATGCGCGGATAATATGCCGCTGTCATATTTAAAATTCATGAAGATAGTATGAATATTACATCTATGATTTAATCAAACATAAACCAATTTTCTTTTTCTTTTGTAAATAAATTGAGTTATCTGATAAGTAACGTTCAATGATAACTGCTGATCGAGGCAAACGAAGATTATCGCCGAGTCAACAAACGATGTACCGACAGTGCCAAAAATCGAATGGCTACGGGATTCCACATCCATCTCAAAACGGACGTTGCTTAGCGCTGCGATTCGACGTTGAAGTCATTTGCTCATCGTCGCTCTCTCGATCTTTCTTCCCTGCTTTTCCTCTCTTCATACGAGACCGCGTAGATGGTGTTTAGATATCCGAGAAAAAAATGAACAGAGAGAATCTTGATAGCGGTCTTTTTCCGTGCTTAGTTTCTTTGTATTTGTTTCTTTTAATAAATATATATTTCCTGTAATGTAAATATTATAAATTATCTACGAATCATAAAGCTTTGAATATTAAATAACGATAAGTTATAAGAATAATCGTATAACAAAATTATATGCAAAAATTTAATTATAGAATTTTTATGAAAATAAATTAATTATTATACACACACACACACACACACACACACACACACACACACACACACACACACACACATCACACCATCATTATTTTTATTGAATATGTACATATTAATATGAACATGTGATAAATGGAAATTCTAATGTTAATATTCATCAATACTTTATTCTACAATAAAAAAATTATGCGGACAGCACAGATAAAGCAATTATATAAGCATACTCTTTATCCACGATTTGTGGTATTAGCACGGACACGCATCAGAATAAAATTTTATCGACAGTTTCAGATAATAGAAGGTTACTTAAAATAGTGGTTACTTAATTCCAAAATGGAACTTGGGGGCACTAGTGTACGGGGATTTCGATGGTTCTATGAAAAAGGCCGGGATGGCTGCTCTCAGACTACTCTCTGCTTTGGGACAAAGATATTAGAGATCCTTGTCGACAATGTGGACATACAAATAGGATTCTTGTACTATCGCGTATGTTGAGTGGGAGACGTGTGTCAATTATGACACTTTGGTCGCTCAAGCTCATCGGAACTACGATAATTCGTGACTGATATTTTTCCTAGCTGAGACTCATGTTGACAATTCCTCGAATGAAAATGTTGGTGTGCCGTATGACATTAATGCGTTAGACACAATAATTGTGATGGTAATTAAGAGAACGAAAGTAATGTTTTCTGTTTTCTAAATTTACAGATGTTTAGTCCTATACAAATAAAGCACGAATGTACTGTAGAGGATGTTAATGCGAGTAATAGACTCAGCACTTCCGAGAGTTCTTTGTATCCTTTTATCAATCAGGATGTTGAGTATAAGCATCGTCAGTTATCTCAGTTTTGGGAGCAAACACAGTTGTCGAATGACATATCTGCGAAAAACGAGATTCATGATCAACAGGTCATGTTTCAGGCAGAAGTGAGTATCTATATTATTGAGTAGATTAGTGATTTGACAAGTAATTTTTCATTATGTCTAATTTTACATGTTTTCATTTCTAGGAAACTGGAAGTTTGTCATATGTGAAGGATGTACAAAATTATGTACAAAATGGCATATTTTATCCAGTTGATCAGGAAGATTGCAACAATCAAATGCAGACAAATAATCAGTGTAATCAGAGTACAAGCAATGTTGTCATAATGCAAGAGAACAAGCAAACGCAGTTATCACAAGATTTGCAAAATGTAGGAGATATCAATCAAACGTTGACAGCACAATCGCTAACTGCCGTGAAAAACAATCGTCTTGGGAGACCATCAAAGAGTTCCACAGAGTCCAGCATGGGAAAAAAATTAAAATGCCAATGTGAGATTTGTTTCAAAGAATTTGGACACAAAAGTAATTTATTTATACATATGAGAACGCATAACGGGGAGAGACCATACAAATGCAATCAGTGCGAAAAGTGTTTTACACACAGTGGAAACTTGGCTATTCACATGAGAACACATTCTGGCGAGCGGCCGTATGGTTGTCAGATATGTGGAAAAATGTTTAGCCACAGTGGGAATCTTTCTACTCACCTAAGGACTCACTCAGGCGTGAAGCCCTATAAATGTAGTGTATGTGGTAAGGAATTTAGACATAGTGGTAACTTATCGATACATGAAAGGATACATTCCGGAATCAAACCATTTCAATGTAAAATTTGTGGGAAAGAGTTCTATCACAGCGGTAATCTGACGACTCATATGAAGAAACATCCTGTAAATACAAATGCAAACACGACTGACTGTGAAAATAATCAAAAACATACCCTGCAAATTGGTACAGATGTTAATTCTACCGCTTCTTCGAATTATTTAGACAATGTGTCTTTAACGCTCAATGATGACATTAAATTAATGCATAATACTAGTAATGTGGTTCCTATAAAGAATGAAAGTACAGAAGATACTGTAAGTACTATGGGAAGATTAACATCTACTTCTAGTTGAAGGTATATATATGATTATTATTATGCAGGATAAGTCATATAACTTATTACAAGTTAATATTGTTGCAAGACAAAAAAATGGAACAAAATTCTTGATGATGCCTTAATGAAAGCATGATCTTATAATATTATTGTAATTATTAGAAAATATTATTGTAATTATTAGAAAATATAATTATTAATTATAATTATTATTATAAGAAATTATATGTAACTTTTTTAAAGTAAAATTAGTTTAGATTTTTTTTAATATCTTATTTTAAATAATGTATATTATTATTATATATAGTTTATATATAGTTAAAAGTAAAAATTTTTCAATGATTTAACTAATAGATATTAATTTGTAATAAGTTATATATGATATCCTGAACATTAAGGAATTTTAAAAACATTGAGTCCTTGGTATTTTTTCAATGCTATATTTGCAAATAGACAGTCTCTTTTTATTGACAAAAGCACCAAAAATCTTTTTATGCAGTTAGATGATGATCTTCCTGAGTCTTAAATTACGTTATTATATAATAACATTAAAAAATATTTTTATGTAAACTTATTTAAGATCAAGTGGTATTTGATTATAAATAATCTGTGATGCTTTGAGTTATCGAGATGGGAAAGGATAGTAGAAATAATACTTTCATAAAAAATCCACCGTTTATTTATATAAATAACATATTCAATATTTCTTGTTTAGTTATTTTTCATACAGGTATTATTAATAATATCAGACTTGAATATCCCTTGAATTAAATAAGTAAATTATTCTACATATTATTAATATTTTGAATATACAATGCACAACGTGTATAAAAATAATAAAAATATATAATTTGGACTTTACTTTGAGCTCATATGTGCAATTTGGTATCTAATAAGTGATAAATTTTCTCGTTAAAACTTTTGTTATTCCTACTTTTATTTATTTCTTATTGTTAGAAACTTTATTTCAATAAATTATCTCTATTTTTAATTTTCTATATCATTTAATATAACAGACATTACTGAATAATATCATTTATATAGGAAAATTCAATTAAAAACTATGTAACTTTTTTGATCGCGTATACGAGTAAAATTTCAAATCTAACATTTCTAAACATTTTTTATGTAGTAATATTTAATAATAAATTTTTAAATAAACTAATGATCTTCGCCTTTAATTTTTTACATAGTTATAATTATACATATATACAAGTAGTTTAAATTATATATTTATCAAATTTGAGTTTCAAATAAGTATATTATACTATATAAGAGATATATTTTTATTATATATTAGATCGTTTAATGCATTATAATTTATACTGGGAATGGATTAAGCTTTCACAAAGAAGAATTTGATCCCAATGTGATACTTACTATAAGATTAATATTTTAGTTTCTTGTCATATATTTAATTATTATAGTTTATTTATATTAAATAAAAATATGGAATGTATTAATATGTCATAGAATCATTGGTGTAGACTAGGGTAACTACGTTATAAATTATTTTTGTAAAAAAAATTCTTTGAGCTCTCTTGTATACCGTTCACTTTTTCGTAAACAATTGTTTAATAAAATATTCATGTATTAACGTACAACTTTTAAAGGGACGGTCATGTTCCGTGGCAGACGAGCTGCAAGAGTTTCTGCCACGTTTTCAGAAAGTTCATGCCAAATGTATTTCCCAATTATAGGTACATCTTCCAATGGCAATTTAAAGGATACTAATAATGTTAGACACAGACCATCTCCTCCTTGTCCACCACTAAATTCTATAGACAATAAACCATGTGGTTTGTGTTGTGCTACATCATCTCCAAATATTTCCTAAAGAAATCGATAAATACGTGAATATGTTTGTAATAAAACTTTTTTTCAAATCGTTAAATTTTTAAAAATATCTAACAAATGTATTTATTTTTTCCTCAAAAAATAATTTTTATACATGATAACTTTCATGTACCTAACGAATTTTTAAATTCGATTTTATCGAAAATGAAACTTTAAATAAACAAAAATTTTATTCGATTTACTTTTTTATATAGAATTATTCTTTTCCCGATTACATGAAATTATTTATTATAAAATATTTTATATGAATCGATTCTCTATAACAAAAATATATTTTTTTCTCATAGAATTAATTTCTTTGCAAAATATATCCAATATGTTATTTGATATTTATAACTAATATTTATATAAATAAAAAATATTTTTTTAATATACTCACTGTCATAAAACTATGCAGACTAGACAATAAACTACGATTTGGATTAAGTTCACAAATTGGTGGATTATGTTGTTCAGTATCAGATATAAGTACATGTAATCTGTTCCTATTAAAAAAATTTATAAAATTTATTATACTTAAACATATATATACATATATATCATAATTATAGAATTCAATGTTATAATTCTACCAGATATTGCATACTGCCTGATACTTACGTTGCCTTTTTCTTAGATGTGACTACTAATCTCAGTGACAGTTTGGCATGCGATTTGGTCACAGGCATCAAGTGAGGATGTTGAGAAACATTCTTATTTGACATATAACTTTTGCCTCTATCCAGAAGATAAATAATATCATTAGACCTTAAAGGTAAATCATTTATGTTTCGTACCCAACATGCTTGCAGTGATTCATCGTTTGCCTGATCAGGCGTCTTCAATGTACCACCGACTATGTCCCCAGTGAAAACAAAGCGAAACCATGTGCCGTTTGCGCATTCTACCAGTATGAGAGTCGTTGGCGCGATTATTAGACCCGTTTCCTCTAGGACTTCCCTCTTGACCGCGCTCACGAGATTCTCGTTCTTTTCCACTCTACCAGCCGGCAGGTACCATTTTCCATTACAAGAAGCTTTCGCCTCTTGTATCATCAACACCTCACCTTGGTCATTTATAACAACAGCGGCGACTATGTACGTCACTGTCTTCAGGCAGATCGGAATGTGTGTTGCTAGTTGACCTGATTTCTCATCTGCAACATACATCGACATCGTTTATATAAAAATCTTTCTCTCTGCGAGGAAAAAAAGACGATTCGAGTGAAATGTTAGATAACGATTGTTGCGAAAACGCGTTTGACTTACCTGTCAAATCGCTCGTGAGAGTATGCATATTACATATGTCATCGTTTTCCAACGCTTGTCCGGCAAGCAACGATTGAATTTGATTCTCTACAAGATCTGACATGTTATACACACATGTATCACGCTGTTATACACGTGAAAATATTGTATAATATCGCGTATGATATGACGTGCGATCACAGATATATGCGAAAAGTAAATTTAAACTTTACACACGATTAGTAATAAACACCGTGAAAGTGACAGCTACTCAGCCAGTAAACGCGGAAAGACATTAGGATATGTCAAGACGTCCGCCTCCGCTCCGCTATTTCTGTTCATGTGCATCTGCGCTACGCGAAATTCCCTATGTGAAAAGTTATGGTAGAGAGAAGTGGCCATCCGATGCCTCTCATGTGCATGACTTTTTCAATAATATTTACTGAAACACACACAACGATGTAGTTATAAGAAAAACCGGCATCCGCGAAGCCCAAGTTAAAATAAATTGCAGAATGGATGCTTTAAGCGTGTTAATTGCAATAGCCCTGATACATTGCTCGTTATTCTTTTTTGATACGCTTTTTAAGGTAAATTATATCGGTATTGTGACAATTTTACTGTTGCTTTATACTTGACTGTTTAGTACAAAAGTTTGAATGAAATAATGTTTATGATGAAATGTGCAAAAGTTTTTTGTGCTTGAGATATTATTGCTTGTCACTGCCATCCACGTTTTCTGTCATAAATCCTGTCGCTCATGAAAACAATTTTATAATATGAATTTATTACAAAATGTATATGTAAATAAGGATACTGTTTAATTTGTTTCAGTCCTGCTCACATTTTCCATATCTTTATTTCCTGGAAAACACTGGTTTAGAGATTCAGATACTGAGAGTGAAATGGTTTACTACAGCTTTCAATCGCAAGATAATAAAATGGGGAATGGATCGCTCTAGATTTTGGACTGCCTGGTTTAACGCTGGCATCATTATAACCGTTATACTTTTTCCAATAGCTGTTATCATTATTTTAAAGATGACATTTAACATGTGGCTAGCTGGATCCTCAAGTGATACCAGTTCAGGAGTCATATTAGAGCCCATGGTAGATTACAAAAATAAAATATATTCGAGTCCTATTTTTCAATAATCTTATATACATATATATATATATATATATATATATATATATATATATATGAGATTTTAGTATATATGAGATTTTTTGAAAGTAAAAACTGATTTATTCCAGATTAGTTTTATATATTTTATATATTTTATATAATACATTAAAATTATTCAGATATATAATTATTTAATCTTGGATATATCTTTTTATATCTTTAATCTACTTGTATTTTACTTTTATATCTTTGTTTTAGTTACCAGGCGTGGATGTTCCTTTTAATGAAATTGGTTATTATGCAGCAACGCTGGCAATATGTAGTATAGTTCATGAGTTAGGACATGCCTTTGCTGCAGCGAGAGAAGATGTACAATTGTTTGGTTTAGGAATATTAATTGTTTTTACAATTCCAATAGCTTATGTACATATAAGCAATGAACAATTAACTGCATTACCATTAAGAAATCAATTACGTATTGCATGCGCAGGAATTTGGCATAATATTATCCTTGCTACAATAGCTGCGGCAATTCTTGTGTTTTCTACATGGCTATGGGCACCACTTTATAATATAGGTTCCGGGATTTATGTGAAGACTATTCTACCTGTGAGTAACAAGTGAAGAAAAAGATTGTTGAGATATATTAAAATATATTTTTATCCAGTTATATCATACTTTTATTTTTTGTTCTAGAATTCACCTATGTTAGGGCCAAGTGGTCTTTTGGAACATGATGTGATATACAAATTAAATAACTGTCCTGTAAAACATAGTGAGGATTGGTACGATTGTATATTGCAAACAATGCAACATTCCGCTCCTGGCTATTGTGTTAAGCAATCTTTTATCCAAGTAAAGATTATATCATGGTTTTATTACTTAATCTGTTTATATTAAAAATCTATAGTACATACGACAAACTTATATATTTTCAATACCAGCAGTGTATATTAGATATTTATCGTCTATATCTTTGTTATTTTTTTAGGACTATGATGAATCAGTACCAGCTAAGCAGAAAACGAACGGTGCTGTAAATTGTTGTACAACCGATAGTGAAATGAGTGGCAATCAATGTTTCGAATACATAGAAGGACCGCAAACAGCCCCTCTTCATTTGCCTCCGCACTCTTGCCTTCCAGTAAGAGCAATGCTCAATCAATCACAAAATTACTGTCAAACTAGTCACGAATGTTTATCTCAGGACACTCATTGTATGAAACCTTCTTTAGATAATGTGACAAAGGTAAGTAGAAAAAGAAAATATAAATTATTTATAGCAAATAAAGTTTCCAAAATCAAGTATTAAAATAATTAAAAATTACAGATTATCCAAATAAAGAGGAAGATAGGTAAAGATGTGTTATTTTTTGGTCATCCAGCAGATATTTATAGGACTGTCGATGTATCGGATTGGGTGCCAAAATATTCTTTCCTATATCCCAAATTACCTGAATCATTGGCGTTACTTTGCAAATACATCACGGTATTTTCAGCAGGGTTGGCAATCATTAATGTTGTGCCTTGCTTCTTTCTGGACGGTCAATATATCTTAAATATACTTGTACTTTATTTATTGAATTCCGTGCCACATAACAAAAATATCAGAGAAAGCACAATACTTACAATAACAAGTATAGGTACATTACTTCTTATAATGAACTTAATGTATTTGCTTATTAATAAATTATTGTAAGTAATCATACATTTTCATTTTCTTCATGTGAAATTACAAAATAATCTTATCTAGCTTGTCATATAATAATAATAATGCCCTTTTTGAATTTGTATTACAGAATTTACAGAAATTTAATAACATATTCTTCACAACATTAATTAAAATATGTTGATGTTAAATTTTTTGTATACTTAAAAAAATTATATAAGTGAAAGTGCTGATTGATTTAATGCCGTTATAAAAATTATATTTTTTTAAATTTGATATTAGCTGCCGGTAGTCATTTATAGGGAAAAAGTTTATACCTATTTTTATCTTATACATTATTTTTCTTATTTGCCTTGTTACTTATCACAAAAACTTATTTTTTAAAATTATCTTTTGACAATATAGGAAAGATTCTTTGCATGTATAAAATGCTAAATTCGTTATCGTTTCGCTGCTCCATCTGCATCCAATGCTAAAAAGAATTTTTATATTATAAAAATATATGTAAAAAAGATAATAAAGTTAATAAACATAATATAATAAAAAAATACTGAATTCTAAGCTTATTAAATCACTTAGGCCTTACTTACTTACTTAACTTAAATATCTAATACATCATGGATTAGATTGTAGGATTATACATACTTTTTCCATCGCAAGCAACAATTTTTACTTTATCTACTATCGCAACCTCTTGAACTTCACGGAATTCAACATCATTCAACATAAAAGTCCACACATTATCACAAAATCTATATGTGTTTAATTTGCCAGCCTATAATAAGTCAATCCATTAAAATTAATTTCTTTCTAAATGTAACTTAATTAAGCAAAGAAGATTAGTTAAATATTATCATTCAAATATTAAAAAGATTTACCTTAAATGTAAGTCTTGATTTAACTCTTGTTGCTAAAGCTTGATTAATAGCTTTATCAAATTGTAGCAATACTTTTATTGCAAGCTGTGGCGTTATTTGTCCATACTGAAACATATATTATCATTATTAGGGAAGCCAAATATAATACACAAATCATGAAAGACAGTTTTTAATAAACTACTATAAAGACACATTGTAATTTTTTATTTATCTGACAAAAGTTCAGTTTCAATTTCACAAATATGTATTAGAATATATTATCCTCATTTACCCTTTTGAGTTTACAGTGTTACTGAATTTCATGAAATATAGAACGTGTACGGTAAACGATAAACATAGTAAACTGCGTTGTCATTCATTCGAAACGAATTGTTTTTTTCTGTGTATATATAAATCTGAGGAAAGTGCCAAATCTAACCTATGTCATTGTATCGTTGCACTCACTTGCATCAACTCGTCGAGAGTTTCCTGCAGCGTATTTCCTAACGTTGTGTTCCTGTACAACTGGTACGACATCCTGATAAGAAATGTCTCGTGACAGCGTGGAAGGTAATAATTCCGGACCGTGAAGCGTCTACCATCAATAAACAACAGTACTCCTTTGCATATCTCGATATTAACACTCCGACGGATACACGCATTCGATGCACTGCTATCGCGCTATTTGTGAAGAAATAAACGCGCGCGCGCAGCGTGGCGCGCGACTTGGAATCGTTAAGCTTGTATCAGATATATAAATTGGGGATTAAGGACTGCAAACTGAAAATTAAATTTCGACCAATCAAAACAAAAAGAATTAACATTAAGATTAATTTATTGAGCAAAATTTAATTTTCAATTTGTCATCTTCAATCTCCATGGTTTGACAATAGATTCGGAAACACAATCTGCTCATTCAGCGCTTAGCGAGCTTTCACGTCTGATTGGTATATTTTTTTTAGATATAAATAGTTTACATATAAATAATATAATATTATATAATGAGTTTATTTATTATTATAAGAGTATCTCTTATATCCGATCAAACGTTTGAATCTTCTCGAAAATTCTATGTAAATTTGCCAAATCGTACGAAATATGAATGTGAATGAATCGATCAGACGGAATCTAACACAAAGAAATTAATAAAACATTTTCTTGTGATTGATGTGCGATCGCTCATTCTTTTTCGGTGTGTTTATTTTTACATGATTACGTAACACCGTCTAAAGAGAACTTTACGTAATTAATAATTATTTCCATCAATATGTATTAATTTTCATCTCAGTTTAATAAATTGTTTACTTTTTTCTGATTTTTACAACTAAAAAAAGATTAAAAGTAAGTTAAATTAAAATTAAAATTAATATGCATTGGTAGAAATGGACATAAATCGAACATTTGATAATTTCTCTACTCGATTCGTTTTTTACAGTTTCAATATTTCGAGAAATATTTTGATAATCATCGAAGACTTCGAATACTTCGTACACAATTACGAAATATGTTGGAACGAATTACGAATTTATATCAGTTTATACACGTATGTTTCGCGAATATTTCTATCTAAAGATGATTAGAATCACCATGAGTTTCCCTCGAATTATCATATTTGTCATAACGTTGTATATGTAGTTGTTATTGTATCAATATCGTGATTTAAACATCCGGTAATTCGCGCACGATATTGATTGAAATTCCTCGAATATTTCGTCATTATTTTCTCGAGCACCAAAGTACCGCGAGAGATGCAATTGTAGAGTGCGTAATTATCATCAGGTATGTCGAGATCCTACAATTAGCATCTATTATGCCTATTATAATGTTGCGTTTCATTTCCACTATTTTTCAAATAAATTTTCCATTGCCTTGGTAACAACATGTTGAGTACTTCGAGCGACTAAAGTTTCGAGTGACTAAAGAGAGTATAGCTTGAATTTCACCGCGCAATTTCGCACCCTCGAGAAGCGTGCGTTTGCGCGGCGAATATTGCGAAACGAGCCATTCTTATCGACATTGCTTCGCCATTCCCCTGCATCCCAGAATTTCCAGAGTCGAGGCATCCATAATCCTGAGTTGACGCAATGAGAGAAAATCAAATCGATGGGATGTGGGACGTGGGAGGGAAGGATGAGAGAGAGAGAGAGAGAGAGAGAGAGAGAGAGAGAGAGAGAGAGAGTGTGTGTGTGTGTGTGTGTGTGTGTGTGTGTGTGTGTGTAAAAGCAATGGGGTAAATGTAACAGGATAACTTGAACAGGCTTCTAATGTTTATGTTCCTCTGATTCTCTCTTGCTTTCGTGGTGCTGCTTTTAGAAAGACAAAGTCTCGATTTATTCGCAATACAGGATGAATCACAGTATAATATAGAATAGATACAAAAAAATTATTTATCGAAAATATTTTAATTGTTTTATGGAAAAATTGCTCCTTGGACAGGAGCAACAGGATCAAATATAAGTTTTTAATTAAGATTTAAGAATAATTTTTTTTAATCGATATTTTTTAAATATTGTAAAAGAAAGCTTATTTTAATGAATAATATTAGAATTAATAATATAAAAAATTAAAATTAAAATTAAAATTAAAATTATAATTATAATTAATAATATAAAATAAGATTGATAACTATTATGAATTATTTAGAATAAGGTATTACATGTAAAATATAAATTAATGATTTATGATTCAAATTAAAAAAATTGAAAATGCAGATATAAAATCTATATTGTATAATTTAAATATTTTCCGTTAGAAGATAATTAATTTTAAAAATAAATTATTAAATTATATTACAAATAAATTATTTTATTTATATGTATGTTAAATTTCTTTTTATTTTCTTATTTTTATAATTTTTACTTTTTTGCTTTGTAATATATTAATTATAATATAAATTATATTAATACCTTATTATAAATAACATTATTTTTTTCTGATAACATAAGTATGTCAATTTTTTAAATGTTTAAGAAAATTAAATCTATTAAAAATATTTAATTACGCAATAAATTGTGATAATTAATATTTCTAACGTAATTAATATTAATACTACATTATTATTATATTAATAATGTAGTATTAATATTAATTACGTTAGAAATATTACACACATCAAGATGATTGAAGATTATGTCGCCAACTATGTGTCGTTATTTTTAACGAACTTGCAACTTCTGGTAATTCAAAATTAAAACTCAAGTTTCTTTTAATAAATTGAAAATCAAATATGATATCGATTACCTTCTTTCCTCCCCTAAAAAGTAATGTGTTTTAATTTTTATTATCTAAAGACAAAATTTGTGCCAAGTTTTCTAACGTATAAAAAAATTTCATTAATTAATTGTACAATATTTCAAGTTATTTTTAATGTAAGCTGCAATATAATTCCGCATTGGCATAATTTGTGATAGGATCGTTTTCTTCTTTTTGTAAGTTCACACACGTTAAGTGGAACTCAAGAAGTCTTATAATTATCCGTTTGGTTCAAATGCTCGAGTAATTGCCAGTGGAAAGTTTGACTTGCATGCGAAACTTTTCACGGTAAAAGAGGCACAAAGCCTCTCGAGCCGGAAATGAATAAACGGTTCCTATGAATTAAATGCTCGAAAGTATATCTGTCTTTTCGCGTACCAGGTGTTTTGTCAGATTTATTAGTATCGATCGCGGCTTTTAACCAATTTGCAAATCAAAATACACGATTTATTCGTATCGTCGATTTGATTGGATTCTTACCAAGGGGATACATAAAAGATAATCTATTTTTGCTGTCAA